AGAACCAGCGCGGACCACCCCGAGAACCAATCGTGCAACCTTGAGGTGTAATCGTGTAACCTTGAATAATGGCTATGCTTTCCCGGGCCGCCGTAGGGGTAGGGCTCGAGTGGAGACTTCCACTGTGTCCTGAGCCCTACCCCTACGGCGGCCCAGGAAAGCATAGCCATTATTTCTGGATCCGATTCAGGCATTGCTACAGTCCCGGAGGAGAGCAGCGCAGCTGAATCCTCCTCTCCAGAAAGCTCTGGCTCACCCTCCGATGCGGCAATCGACATCCGATCATCGGGGGGAGCCTCGGAAGAAACAGGTGGTACACCCCGGGAGGATCCAGCCTGCTCTTTCGAGGGCTCCACTGGCTTTGAAGTGCCGGCTGGCTGGGGCATCCCCATCCTTGTTGGAGGGGAATTCCTCACCATGACCGTAAGACCAGTCCGCCCACTTCCAGAAAAAGGGCGCCCCCGGCTGCCACCAGAGGGAACCCCAGATCTAGGCAGTGGCATGGGCACTCCGCCCCCTTGCAGGTAACGGAGTCTGGTCCGCAACTCCAAGATGGTCATACCCCCGCAATGGGAGCATGAGTCATCCACGAAAGTCACCTCAGCGTGCTTCATGCCCAGGCACGAGAGGCAGCGATCGTGACCATCACCCAACGCCAGGTAACGACCGCATCCAGAAACGCTCGGGTGATACATTGGCTATAGCAAGACCCACATCGTCTTTACAGAGCCATAACGTCAAGTTTGCCACGCGACGTCGTCTTTAAAAAGACGCACCTGAAATTGCTCTTTTAGGGGAAAAAGCTCTTTTAGCGTGCTGAGGCGCACAGGGGAGATGATCATGTGCAACACAAACAGGTAGTAGAGCAGCCTGATGTGTGCAACCCACTCGACACGGGAAACCACCACCGCTGAAGCGCCGTACCGCCAACACGAAGAGCTCTCCAAGAGCGTGCTGAACTCGTTCAGTCTTCTTCTCTCAGTAGAGTAGTCAGGAGCAGAACGATGTGATCGCTCGGCTCCGAAGCGAAAAGCTGAATATGCGCTGCATCTGCTGCCTACTTATACTCACGCTGTGATCAGCGGCAGCTGGATGCAATAATCGCATGCCAATGTGCATTGGCTCGTTTAGTTTACACTCTAAGTAGATTGGTCCCTCTAAGCGAGATCCCAATTCGTCGGTCATCCGACGTGACGTCGAGAGTGACCGACTGAAAGGGAACATTCAGTTATCAATTTTTGATGAGATGTTGTTTCTCTTACAGAAAGTACTGAGGATGAGTTTGAAATATCCTTTGTTTGTCATCGGCCTGATGATCTGGACATACTACAGGAAGAGACTGAATTCAGCAAGAAAGAGCTGCAATTCCTCTACAGGGCCTTTAAAAATGTAAATGTTCCTCTACTTAGATTATACAAGGAGGAACGTCAGCACATTAGCTGGGAATGTCATCCTTTGTATGGCACAAATAATTGCTACCTTATTTCTCTATTGTATAACCTTAATTTACATTTTCATTATTTTTTTTCTTAAAGACATATAATCATTCATTGCATATTGAATTATGTTGAAGGTTTTTGGCCACAGTGGTGTTTTTATAGGGTTTATTTTAAGAACTGTTGTGCATTTCAGGAATGTCCCAGTGGAGTGGTGACTGAGGATGTGTTTAAAATCATTTACTCTCAATTCTTCCCACAGGGAGGTAAGACAGAATATATATATTGTAATCTTTTTGTTAATAATATAATGTTAATTAAACTTCATATAATTATCAATGAATGCCTATCTTTACCTCATGCTGAAGGCCTAGACCCCTTGAAGATGCTGGAACCCAGTTGTTTAAGCTAGAATTTTACTATTGGTTTGAATTTTTAAAAATTATCCAAATATTTTTGAATCAAAAACTTTAAATAGATCTCAGACTAGGCGGGAGGATCCAAAATCCCACCCACTACTCACAAACACTCTGGGTGACACTAAAACAGGCACTTTTACATTTGTGCTCATATCCACACCACCATATGGTCTAATCAAAATGATTCCTTTTCTCTTAGTCACTGACTACACAATGGATATCTATAAATTCCATTTGCATCTATAATATCTATCTATCTATCTATCTATCTATCTATCTATCTATCTATCTATCTATCTATCTGTGTGTGTGTGTGTGTGTGTGTGTGATCCTGGAGCACAAAACCTTAAAGTCTTAAGTCGCTGGGGTATATTTGTAGCAATAGCCAAAAATACACTGTATGGTTCAAAATTATAGATTTTTCTTTTATGCCAAAAATCATTAGGATATTAAGTAAAGATCATGAAAATATTTTGTAAATTTCCTACTGTAAATATATTAAAACTTAATTTTTGATTAGTAATATGCATTGCTAAGAACTTCATTTGGACAACTTTAAAGATGATTTTCTCAATATTTAGATTTTTTTGCACCCTCAGATTCCAGATTTTCAAATAGTTGTATCTCGGCCAAATATTGTCCTATCCTAACAAACCATACATCAATGTTTCAGATTATGTATAAATCTCAATTTCGAAAAATTTACCCTTATGACTGGTTTTGTGGTCCAGGGTCACATATACAGTAGATAAAATTAGAGAACAATCTATAAACACTTGATTTTTTTTTCTGAAATATTGTTAATCTTCATTGCTCAAATTTTGAAGGAATATTAGCTGTAGGTATACCACTGTTCTACTAACATGTTTGACAAAATATCCAAGGCATTTCAACAAAGGCCTATTTTGTGGAAAACACAGTGATCAAAATTAGAGAACAGTAACCACTGTAGCACGAAAAAAGATTGCAACTAAAATTTTGGAGGGTTACAGCTGTCAGAAATGAGAAGGAATTGTAGAGGCCCCTGCTTTGAATAACTTCAGCACATCTGGGGCCGCAGGACATCAGTAGTTTCTCACACTGCGCTGCTGTGATCTTGGTCCACTCTTCTTCCAGTCTCTTCCATCGCTCGGTGACTGTAGTGGGTTTCTTAGCCATAACTTTGTCATCATGGATTTTCCAAAGATTTTCAGTTGGGTTTAGATCAGGACTCTGGGCCGGCCATTTCATTATTTTCCACTTCAAGGAACTGCTTTACCTGTTTTGCAGTGTGACGGGGAGCCTCGTCTTTGGCTGATTGGGAGATGCTTGCAGGGAAGGAACCGCATGTTGCTGAAGGAGGTTCTGATAAACATTTGTATTCACCTGTAATGTATCTGTATAAGAGGCTCAACTCCTGCTGCAGAAAACATCTCCCAAACAATGACACTTCCTCCTCCACCTTTCACTGACTTCTTTACGCACTCGGGCTTCAGTCTTTCCCCAATGTGACGCCAAACAAAATGTTTCCCATCAGACTCAAATAAATGAAACTTACTCTCATCACTAAAGTGAACTTTGGACCAGTGCTCCTCTCTCCACACAACATGCTCCTCAGCAAAAGTGAGTCTAGCTTTTTGATTCTCTCTGCTGATGAGAGGCTTCGTCACTGCAAGAGTGCGCTTTCAGTCCGACTTCTCTTAAATGTGCCGAGACAGATCCATACCAGTGTTCAGCACTGAACTGGCGAGCAATTCCAGCTGCAGTGCTGAACCGATTCCCCATTGAGAGTCTCCATATTATCCTGTCTTCTTGTGCATTTTTCTTTCGTGGACTACCAGACGTTTTTTGGGGACTTGAATGAATTAGTGTCATTGTAAAGCGGCAATATTTGAGAGATCACAGATTTGGAACGACCAACTTCTCTTGCAATGTCTGAAAGGATCGTCCCTTTGGCTTTCACCTGGACCGCCTCCTGTTACAGGGTTTCAGTCACCACCATCTTGCAATCTGAGTGAAAACTGGAGGATTGCTGTCAGTTAAATAGGGTTTGTCAGATAATTAAGGAAATTGGCACCAGGTGCCAGATTAACACCAATAACTGGGAGGTATCTGTAAGTGTTCTCTAATTTTGATCGGAGTTCTTTTTCAAATATCTTATTTAAGTTTTTTTATACTGCCAGAATACAATTACTTAATGAAATATGCTTAAAAAACTGCCCTTCTACTCCTGTTAAGATAACTTCAAATATGACTAAGCAGTGACCTTGAAATTTAGGAAATTGTAGGTTGTTCTCCGATGTTGATCTCCACTGTGTGTGTGTAATATATATATATGTATATACATATATATAAATCCTTGACCAATTCTTTCTTTCTGTATGTCAGATTCAAGAACTTATGCACATTACCTATTTGAGGCATTTGATACTAACAGGAATGGCTGTTTGAGTTTTAAGGTAAGCTGTAGCCAATAGTTTTGAAGATCTATGAGCTGAACTAAATGTGTCAGTTAAGAGAGACATAAATGTGCAGAGCGGTGGGTCTACAACAAAGCTTGTAACCTGCCTTCCAGTTAAGATTTTATTTATTTGTTTGTTTGTTTCCTGACAGATTTATATTTCTTATTACTGTCATTTTACAGGAGTTTGTTGCTGGTCTGTCACTCATCCTTAGAGGCTCAATATATGACCGGCTAAATTGGGTATTTAATTTCTATGATCTTGATAAGGATGGATTCATCACAAGAGAGGTACTTCAAATGAAGCTTTGATCGGTTTAGCATTTACATGAACATATAGCATTGGTGTGTTTAGAAAGACTAATGTTAAAGTATATATGTGTGTATGTGGTTTCGGTCTCCCAGGAGATGATGAAGATCATGAAGTCGATTTATGATTTGATGGGGAAGCATGTGTATCCTTCCATGCATGATGAAACTCCCAGAGAACATGTGGAAAAATTCTTTCAGGTGAACGCAAGCACACAGGAAGTTCATTAATGTCTATGTTGTGTCTCTACACTTCTTGCACCTAAACATTTTTGTTTGCTAAAAAGTACTGAACACTATTACGAGAAGACCTCTCTCCACATCAGCTACAATTAATGGAAAGGGATACATTCAGTGCTGTGAAAATGTGTTTGCCCCCATCCTGATTCCTTCTGTTTTTGTTCATATCTCACACTAATTGTTTTTCATAAATTAAAACAAAATCTAACATAAAACAAATGTAATAATATAGCTTTAAAAATAATGTTATATATTGAAGCAAAAAAGTTATCTAACACCAACTGGACCATTTTTTTAACTGTGAAAATTCTGAAAAATTCCCAAATCTATGAAACTGCATTCATAAAGTGGTTCAGCTGGACTAAATGCAACAAGGTCTAATTACTGCCAGCCCAGTTAATTAAATCAACACTTAAATCAACACCAGAATACTGATCATCATCACCTGATCCTCATCACAACCCCAATCACGTACTGTATATTAAGGGTGTGTAGTGGAGCCAATATTTGTATCTGTATCTGTAACAATCACAAAATTATTCGTATCTGCATCTGTATTCAGATAAAACTGGAAGTGGGTGGGGCTTGAACCGGAAGTTCGTACAGTTACTTGAGACTATGTCTATGGTTTTACAACGTCTTTTTTTCATAGTTATCACTGAACAAATATGCTGTTTAACTAAAATATATATATAATTTTTATGATAAAAATTAATTTTACGATTAAATATCTTCTAACAGTCGGTGCCGATACCTTTGTATAGGCAGTGCTTCGGGGCGACGCAAGTTCGAGTCCCACCTTGAGGACCTTTCTTCATCCTATAAATAAATATTTAAATGTTTTCTAATTAAAACAGTAAGGGTTCCTGTGCAGTTTGGAAATATGAAAATTGATTTAAGTAATTTCCAAGAAATGCATGAAAAAAGGCAACTGCAACACTGCTATTTTATTTGCGCTTATTTAATTCATGGAATTTACACTCATTTACTTCACACACTTGTTATTGTGTAGTAATTTTAGAAGTTTATGTAAAATAACATGTGTGTTTCAACAATTTGTCCTATTCAGTGTTCTAAAATATTAAATTAATAATTTCTAAAAATTATCATAAAAGCAGAGAGATTTCACGACAAACATTTAGTGATCATTTGAACACGACTGAATTAATTCAAGGCACACATTTTCATTACGCAGAACTATTTCTCTTTAAGCGAGTCTCTTTTGAACTTCACTAAACAAATATGCGTGTTCCATGCAAATCAGCAAAAGATAAAGGAGCAAATGTGTAGGCCTAGTAGAAAATGGGGCCTATGTATCTAAACTGATTTTAGCCTACTCTTGACAGAGAGCTTGTTTGGTTTTTTAAAGACGGAGACGCGCAGAGATGGCAATTTTTGATTGGCGATCGCTCTGTGCTTATTCCATTCATCCGTGTATCATATTGTACAAGGTTTAAATAATTGACATTTAAATATACATAAATAGTAGAACGTGTATGATGTAGTATTTTAGTTGATATTACTCTTCTTTCCAAGCTCTGTTTTCTGAGAGATGCACAGAGAGGCAACATCAATGCAATTGTTTGATTTGTGCTCATTTAATTCATAAAGTTTACATTGATTCACTTCACACACTCATTATTGCGTAGTGACTTTAGAGATTTATGTATAAGATTGTGCTGATCCACGGCTCACCTTTTATCCAGCAAACATGAGGAGTGACTGTGCCAGCCTCAGCCGAATATTATTTGGCAGAATTATTTGCTATCTGTTATTCATTTTGAAGCCATTATCCGTGCCTTTCCGAATAAGGTATTCGGTTTCGGGCACACCCCTAATATATGCACACCCTCAAAGCACCTTCATTGTCTTGTCTCATCTGAGTATGACCGTCATGCATCATGTGTGCTATTCATCTTCTTCTTCGGATTGTTATTGGCTGTGCTTCTTCACTGTTTATGTTATTGTGTTCTACTCACCTCCCTCATCGTGTTTAATTGTTTATTACCACCATTGACTGTCTAATAAATACCACTCACTGTAACAACCTTCGCCATCTCGATCCTTCTGTAACAGAAGACAAGGCCGTAACAGCATGGATCCATCGAGTTTGGGCCTGGACTCAAACTCGTCACTGCGACCATCGAAAACAACGAAAGCAACGTTCTCTGATGACCTCTTCCAACCCCTATAAAACCGGTGCATCTGAGGTGAGCGCTAATTTCCATCCACTAAAACTCCCCTTTACATTTCT